GGACCAAAGCCCATCTGTAGACAATTAGACATCCCCCCACAGAAGGGTTACAAGGAAGGGACGATTCAACCAGGGTGCAGTGTAGCAGTACTTGCTCATCATATGGATTGAATCAGTGTGATAAAAGGATACGATGCGGACACATACTTTCCCTGACTTTAAATCATGATGTATTCCATTGTTCTGTTCTTAACGACTGCCTCCTGGTCTACGTATAAGTGACACATGGGCACAATTAGGTGTTCTGAAATTCCCACTCTTCTCTGTGATCTGAGTGGTGGCCTATAAAAGAGGAGAAGAGACAGCAGGAAGATGAAGGAAGACAGCCATTGAGGATAGATTTGGCTTGGCTGCAGTTACATGCCTGAAACTCCCAGAAGATGAGAAAGTAAAAAAACGAGATCAATCCAGAGCCTTCAGAGATAATGGGGGCCACTGGCCTCCTGAACTCAGATCCTTGGCCCTCAGAACCCTGAGACAATGAGTTTGGCTGGCTGCCTACTCTGTGGTTCTTTGTAAGGTCCTCGGGAGGAGACTAAGGCAGGGTGAGCATGAGGTCTGGGCTGCCGTCTTGCTCTGCCCAGGACAGCTCCCATGCAGAGAGTAGAGAAGCTTTGAGTCCCTCCGCCCAGCATGAGGCAACACTGCAGAGTCATTCTTATATCTGAACATCCCCTGAAGTTGGCCCTGTACCACAGGGGTCTGCTCAGTTCTTCTCCCTTCCTTTCCTTCCTTGGGTGTTGGTACCACCCTCAAAAAGCAGCCTGCACTGGGCTCTGGATCAGGACGAGCTTTACCCTCCTCACAGCATTATCCAAAAGTAGGTGGAAGAGAGCAGAGTAAATGGTAGGTGTGGGCTTGAAGGAGCAGTGATCTGAGGCCAGGCTCCAAAGGGACCAGATTTCAAATATTCCCAGACATGAATTCCTAGGGTCCTGTAATGAATCAACAAATCTCAAAGTCAGTTGGGAAGGGGGATCTCTGGTTGGCTGGGATGAAAAACCATCTCGAGCTTCCATAGAGAGAACGGAAGGACTTTAAGCTCTCTTGCAGTTGGCCTTAGGTTTACAGGGATGTGGTTCTGGATCAAATTAGAAATATCCTTCGTAGAAATCAAACCCTGACCAACCCCACCCCCCAGCAAATGAAGCCCCATCTGCAGACCAGAGTGTTGTGAGGAAGTGGGAGTAGAAGAAGGGGGGCCTTCATTCATCAGCACTCAGACCATCTGGGGCTGAATAGCCCTTTGTCGAAATGAACCCATCAGTCTCTGAGTGGGGTTTGAGGTCATGGAAAGTACTGGGCCCTTTCTAAGCCACAGTTGAAGCCCTGGATCTCCTGACCTTTGAGAGGCTCCCCCTTACTCCTGACCAAAAGCGAAAGGAAAAGTGAGAAAGGGAAAATTCTAGAAATGCCCTTCCTCTGAACACTACCTTTGTATAAACATCTGGAGGAGGCAAGCTGGGCCCAGGCAACTGCAGTACCGCCTGTAGGACTTGCCTCTTCTTGTTTATCCCCAACTACATCTGGGACAGCTGCCAGGACCCGCCCTCGCTCGCAGTCATTGGAGGAGCGCTGAAGTAAGGTTTCCTGCTAGGAACCAGCACACGTCACGGTCCGGATACTAGGGGCTTGCAGTGGTGGGGGCTGCTAGAGGCCTGTGCTAGTCCAGCCCTGAGCAGAAAGCAGCTTTCTCCCACCATGCCAGCCTGCTGCAGCTGGAATGATGCTTTCCAGTATGAGACAAACAAAGTCACCCGGATCCACAGCATGAATTATGGCACCATTAAGTGGATCCTGCATATGTTTGTCTTCTCCTACGTTAGGTAAGTGGTGTGTGGGCATGGCCTCCAACCCGGGCTGTGACTGACGGCCCAGAACCCTCTATGGTATTCCTGCAGCATGCAACTGGAATGGCACGTGGTTTGTACATCTGAGATGTGCTTCTCCCGGCCAGCTGCTGATTAGGAGGAAGTTGCACCAGGTGGCTGTAGAAAGAAGCCACAGGGTGAGGGCTACTGCTCTTCTCTACCTTAGGCCTGCCAGGGGAACAGGGCAGGGCATGCCCCAAGAAGGTAGGCAATGCAGGGTAACACTCTGGATTCCTGGGGGAGGAGCAGGAGACTGGGACTTTAGAGCATGTCTGGTGAGAATGCTGGCTGAGAGGGAGAGAATCAGACCAGCTTATAAATGGGAAACATAGATTTCTAATGTCAAGAAACTTGGTCACTGGTGTTTTTGTTGTTGTTTTTAATAGCTTCATTGAGATATAGTTAATAAAACATCTATTCAGGGGAGTGGGGGAAAATGAGCAACTGATATTAGGGGCTAGAGTGGGAGGCAAATGTTTTGAGAATGATGAGGGCATCCATGTGCTTGACACAATGGATGGATGGATGGATTGTGATGAGAATTGTACGAGCCCCCAATGAAATAATTTAAAAAACAAACAAAAAAACCCCACATCTATTCACCCATCTAAAGGGTACAAGGGAATAATTTCTAACATATTCAGAGCTGTATATCCATCATCACAACCAATTTTAGCACATTTTCATCACCCTTGAAAGAAACCCTTCACCTCTAAGCCATTACCTCCCATTTATCCACAGTCCCTGTCAACCATTAATCCATACTCTGTATTTATGGCTTTGCCTATTCCAACCTTCTCATAGAATTGGACTTCTGCAATGTGTGGTCCTGTGTGTCTGGCTTCTTTCACTCAGGATATATATTTGTTTTCCAGGTCCACCCATGTGGTAGCATGTACTAGCACTTCAGTCCTCACCAGGAGCCCATTGTATGGATGCACCACATTGTCTTGATCCATTCATTATCAGTTGAGGGACACTTGGGTTTCAGCTGGTACGAATATTTGTATATTCATGTTCATGTGAACATATGTTCCCATTTCCCCTGGACAGACATTTAGGAACTAGAATTGCAGGGTCATGTGATAATTCTATATTTAATCTTTTAAGGAACTACCAACAGACTGGTCTCCACAGTAGTTGTACCATTCTACATTCACACCAGCAGTGGGTGATGGTTCTAATTTCTTCACATCCTTTTCAACAGTTATTTTTGTCTGTCTTTTTTATTACAGCCATCCTAACCAAAAACTAAACCCACAGCAATTGAGTCTATTTCAACTTATAGCAACCTTACACAGGGTTTCCAAGACTGTAAATCTTTAAAAGAGCAGGCAGCTCCATCTTTCTCCTGAGGAGCGACTGGCTGGTTGGAACCACTGACCTTGAGGCTACCAGCCTACTGCCTAACCAACAGCATAGAGCCATCCTAAATGTAAAAATGCTCACTGTCATCGAGTCGATTCTGACTCTTGAAGATCCTGTAGGGCAGGGTAGAACAGTCCTGTGGGTTTCAACTCTTTATGAGAATGGAAAGCCTCATCTTTTGCGGTAGGAGTAGCTGGCGATTTCAAACTGCCAACCTTGTGGATCGGAGCCCAACATGTAATCACTATACCACCAAGATTCCTGTATAGCCATCCTCACTCACGCACTCACTCATTGCCATTGAGCCATTCCTGACCCACAGTGACCCCTTATGAGTTTTCAAGACTGTAACTGTTTAGAGGAGTACAACGCCCAGTCTTTCTCCTGAGGAGCTGCTAGTGGTTTCGAACTGCCAGCCATGCAGATTGCAGCCCAAACGCATAACCACTATACTACCAGGGCTCCTTATAAGCATCCTAGTGAGTATTAAATGGTATCTTGTCCATAATTCCAAAATGGTTAATCCCAACTTGCTCTTTGTGCTGATGATACTGATGCTGATGCTGGCTGGCTTCTACAAGGTGAGGTGGTACAGTTCACTAGCCAGGAGTTAGAGCAGCCTGTCTCATAATCCTACGTGTCTTCTTGGCCAAGTCACTTAACCTCTCTGAGGCTCAGTTTCCACATCTGTTCATAAGGGTGTGGTAAATAAGAAAGAGAAGGCATGAAAAGCTCTTCTCATGATGCCTGGAATGGGGCGTGAGTCCTATAAATTTGATTGCTGCCTTAAAAAAGAATCTTAGGCTATAAAAGGAACTTTCATAGACATCCTTTCTTTCACCCTCAGAGTAATTGTGCCGACTTTTGGGTTTTGAGGTTTGGGAGACATGGACTCAAATCTTTCACCCCTTTTGAACCCTGATTTCATCTGTTAAATGAGGATAATGGTTGTTGTAAGAATTAAATAAGTTAATAAATGCAAAGCTATGAGACCTACTGCTTGGAGCTGATCCCAACTCAAATCTTTATTAACGGTTGGTTATTATCATCCATAGGAGCCCTGGTGGCATAATGGTTATGCATTGGGCTGTGATCCAAAAGGTCAGCAATGCAAAACCACCAGCAGCTCCTTGGGAGAAAGACTGGAGTTTCTACCTTGATAAACAGTTACAGTCTCAGAAACCCACAGGGGCAGTTCTACCCTGTCTCATAGGGTCACTATGAGTCAGAATCAACTCAGTGGCAGTGAGGATTTTGTTTTGTTTTTTGTATTGTTAACCATATTGCTACTCAGGTTAATCATGATTAGATTCATATGTTTGTTGTTGCTGGTGGTTGATGAGTTGATTGCTACTCAAGCAACCTCGTGTGTGACACAGTAAACTTTCTCCATGTGGTTTTCTAGGCTGTAATCTTTATGGAAGTAGATTATCAAGTCTTTTTCCTACAGAGCCACTGGGTGGGTTGAACCTTTACAGTTTATTGGCAGTTGAGCACTTAACTATTATGCGAGTTGGGCTCACTAGTCAATAAATATTGAATAAAAACATGTGTGTTGAAATTCTAGAATAAGGCCTGTTATTTAGACTAGCTATCATTAAACTGGTGTCAAAGAACATAGTGAGTTATAAGTGCTCCCTGATGTATTAACAAAGAGATCCTATGTCACATTCTCACATGGCAAGTGACATGGCTTCCTGGAATGATTTCATCCAGCACACAATTTCTTCAAAACAGATTATTTGTATATGTAAGGACAGATTACTATGAGAACAGTTTATAATGATAAATATCTTCCTAAATAGGGTGCAGTCTCATCTGATATGCATACCACCACCACTACCCCAATCCAGTTTTATGTTCTGCGGTGGTGTCATGAGGAGAGAGCAATTTAATGACCGCAATGATTCTGGACCCGGGTGCCCAAAGTGAGCCTGAGATGGGATGCTCGTTTTTGGGGATCATTCCACCCATCCATTCCCATGGGTTTCTCAGACAGTACCTTGCTGCCCTGTCTGTTCATCTAGATTATGCTTTTCACCCAACATGGCTCCTGTAATAAGCCACTCCTTCACCTGGAGCAAACTGGTGGAAAAACCAGCAACTTGTTCCAGCTGGAGGAGCCATCGACTCTGGTATCTGTGGCAGGAGAGAGGTCTGTGTGTTATGCTTTGTAGGCAATGCAGGATCATGTTGACTCACAAACGCAACTCAGTGTCATCAGCTGTGAGTCAATCTTTACAGGCGCAGAAAGTCTCATCTCTCTGCCACAGTGCAGCTGGGGTTTTCCAAACGGCTGACTCTTCCCTTAGCAGCCCCCTTTAAAAGCCACCACACCCCCAGGGTTTTGCACCTTAAATGCTGACTTAAGAAGATAACTCCTATGGTTTATATTTAAAAATATAACATTGAAGAAAAATATTGCCAGGCTTGAGTATGGTCCCATTTCTGTTAGTGAACCATTTGTTAACTGGAGACAACAAGTGTGGCTTAGGCGCTGGGCTGCTAACCACACATTTAGCAGTTCAAACCCACCGGGCACTCCACAGAAGGAAGACGAGCTGGTCTGCTCCCATAAAGATTTAGAGTCTGACAAATCCTGTAAAAGGTGGCTATGAGCCGGAATCAACTTGATGACAGTGGCTTGGGCTTGGTTTGGGAGATTATAGCAATGAGAGAGACACAGGGATTATACTCCAGTGGAAGAGAGGGACAGGACAAAAAAAAAGCAAAGAGACATAATAAAATGTCAGTTGGTGACCCAAGCTATGAAGAATTGAAAAGCTATCACAACCTGTTGAAGGCAAGTGGACAGGAGAGTGAAACTGCCCCAGAGGCTTTCCAAGGCTGTGATCTGTGCAGCAGCAGACAGTCTTTTGCAGAGTGGTTGATGGGTTTGAACCACCGACTTACTGGGCTACCAGGATTCCTTGAGAAACGTGGGAAGATTTAAGTAGAGGAGCAGAGGTGCTGCCATACTCTTGGGAAGTCCCTCTTCCCTGGAGACTAGTTGTCTCCCCACGGCCATGGAAGACTAGACGCGTGTTGAGAAAGGAGCCGGGGAACAAACTCCACCCTCAAGTGCTTCTTTTCCAAGGAATCACCCTCCACCGGGTACACAGCATGCCCCTATTGTCCTCCACGGGCCTTGGCGGCTTGCCACCATGGAGAGGACTCTGTTGCTCTCAGCTGCGATGATTCAGGTGTGGTTCCTGGCTGGTTGCCTCTTACTACCAGAAGTGGCCACACCTGAGAGACTGGGCATCTCAGGTTGAGTAGAAATGTGTCCAACCTGGAAGCGGAGGAGGGACCACAACTGGAGAGGAGCAAATCCAAGGGAAGTAGAGACTAGGAGGAAGATGAGGCTGTCTGTTCCCTTCATGATTTACAGCCTTGGAAATTCACAAGGGGCCGTTCTGCCCTCACTATGAGTCAGACTCAATGGCAGTGAATTTTTGTTACTGTTGCTGCTTTGGGCCATACAACATTTCAGGTGCCTAGAGAACCATGCGGGGTGGCAGATGTGAGCAGAATTCATCTTCAGAACTGTAAGGAGCAGTAGCACTCATTGACTCGCACAATAGAGG